GGAAGGACGTCGGAAAGAAGTTTAGTTACGTAACTACGGGTAAGGTGGTAGGCGAGAGTACGGTAGGGAGGTTAGGTAGGAGGTAGGAGAGCGTGTGTGTGTGTGTGTGTGTGTGTGTGTGTGTGTGTGTGTGTGTGTGTGTGTGTGTGTGTGTGTGTGTGTGTGTGTGCGCGCGCGCCCCAGCCAGGTCAGACAGGCAGGGCGGGGTCTTGAGGGGCATCTAGGTTCTGGAGAGGCGGAGCATGGGGCGGGGGAAGGCTACGTGCTGGTAGAGCCTCCGCGGAGTGGGCGGGGTCGTCTACCTCGGGGGCAGGATCAGACTGAAGTGGGGCGGGGCCAGGCAGGGCCAATCACAATTCCTTTCCTGCCCACTGTTTCCCCTATGTCCCTGGACTGTCTGGACTCCCAACGCTATCCCCCGTGTAACTAGGCCTCCTGACCTCTCCCCAGGGGCTGCTCATGATTTGGAAGTTCTCATTGATGAGGTGGATAATGTTGAGCAGACGCTCGTCCTCGTAGTCGAAGCGGCTGCCGAAGATCACAGAGCAGATAATGTTGGACACGGAGCGGCTCAGCACAAACGTGGGGTCGAAGGGCTCACCTGAGGGTGAGGGTGGGAATGGGTCGGGGGACGCGGCTAGGGAGACACAGTGTGTAACACACCAGACCCCATGCAGCGACAGCACTAGAGTTCACGACATCCAACCCAACCGTGACAACGTGACTTGCAGCACAGAACGGACGCTCCTCGCCACCTAACATGAAACATAACAACACTGCAAAAGTATCTGGCAACGCAACAGACAGCACAGAACCCACACCACCCTACAGCACATGGACAACAATGCCAAACAGTAGGACGGCTATTCCTGGCGACACAACCCACAACATACACAATACAATACCACCTATGCACAACATACAACACATTAGACGCAGTGCCTGATGATGCTGCATCCTCACCCAGCAATGACACACAGCAAAATACCTAACACCCAATGATCTGATAACCGAACAGATTACAGAAAATAATACAAAAACAACACATTCCGACAAGAATAGCACCGCCCAGAAAACTGGGTCTGGAGTTTGTTTGGTAGACATAGTTTGGATCATGGCTTGGTCTCTTAGTCTAGGTGTGACATGAGTGGACTGATTTCCCTTCTCTGAGCCTCAGTTTTATCATCTGTAAAATGGGCTTGAGGATAGTCTTCTCTTCATGGGACTGTTATAAGGAGTCAGCGAGTGGGTGGCTGGGAAGTGATTAGCTAAGGGCTTTACCTATCATGAACTTGTTACAAACCAAGGTGGTGTGGTAGGCTGAATAATGCCCCCTGACAAAGATGTCCATGTCCAATTTCCAAGCACCTGTGCATATGTGATTAAAGCTCCTGAGATGGAAAGATTATTCTGGATTATCTGAGTGGGCCCAATGTAATTACAAGGGCCCTTGTAAAGAAGAGTCTGAGTAAGAAAAGCTGATGATGGGAGGCAACGTTGGGGAAGGGACTGGAGGAAGCTGTGTTGCTGGCTTTGAAGATGAAGGAAGGGGCCATGAACTGAGGAACGTAGGTAGCCTCTAGAGGCTAGAAAAGGCAAGGGATCCGATTCTCCCCTAGAGCCTCCAGAAAGCCGACCAGTCCCACTGACCCAGTTTAGATTTTGCATCTCCAGAACTATAGGAGAGTAAATTTGTCTTAAGTCACTAAATTTGTGGCAATTTGCTGCAGCAGCAACAGGAAGTATACAGGCAGTTATTAACCTTTGGCTTAACATCACATCATGTAATCCCTGCAGCATCACCTGCCACTCCTCCTGCACCCCTGCCCCCAAAGCCAGCAAGATTTGGAGATCAGGATAGAGGGCTGTTTATCTATCTCTGCCTCAATTTATTCTCCTGTAAATTATGGCTTATAATAGTACCTACTTCTTAGGTTTGGGTGATATCTCAAGGAGGTAATATACACGAAGTTCTTGGAACAATGCTGGCATATGGTAAGCACCATCTAACTGCTGGTTATTTTATTAACTTTTTTTTTCATGATTGACAGTTTGACTGGGTTTATATCCCAGCTCTGCCACTTCCTGGCCACATGACAACCTTTCTGGGCCTCAGCTTCATCAACTGTAATAACTTCTAGGCTTGCTGGGAGGGTGCAACTTGTTAACACATGCAAAGAGCTCAGCCTAGTGCCTGGTATCCAATAAGCACTTGGTAAATGGACATTCATACATTGAGTATGGACTTGGGTGTTAGTGAAACAAGGGTTTAAATCTTGGCTCCTCTACTTACTAGCTTTGTTACTTCAAGCTAGTTACTTAACCACACTGTGCCCTGATTTTCTCATCTGCAAAATGGATTGTTCTGAGGCTTAAGGGCTTATGCATGAAAACGTGCTTAGCACAGGCCCCCCACCATGTGGTGAGTTCTCAAGAGCAGCATCATCATGTCATCCACCACATTTACACGAGCAGCATTCAGAATACCACCCAGACACAGCCCATCCAAGCAACCATAACATTCTGCCGTCCTTCAAGGAAACACAGCACCACATCTGAGTTTCCTTGGGGCGCCTCCAGGGGGCTCCTCTATTATCGTGGACTAAGTGAGAAGCCACCAGTTTTGAGTTCATACCCACGCTGTGGGATCTGACAGTCCTGACCACTAAGTAGGAAAGATGTGAATGAGGGATATGGCTGCATCCCGAGACTCCAACCTTCAGTTTTCCGAAGCTCTGCCAGCAGGAAGTTGCTTTCCTCCAGAATCCGCTCCTCAATGCTCCTCTTCCCCATCCCGAAGTTGCGCAGAATTTGAACAGAGAATCTCCTCAGGACCTTCCATCGGTCCCCATTGGAGAAGGCAATGCCTGGGGAGAAGAGGAGGGGCCAGATCAACCGATGACTTGTTCCCAAGACCATCGCTGTCTTGAGTCCCCTTCCCTGATGTTTGATAAGAGACAGACTGCAAGTTTGGAATCTTCCCCAAGCCCTTCCAAGAAGGTAAGCCCTTCTCGACCCTCCAGGCTGGATCAGGTGCCTCCTTTGTGCTTTTCTAGGGGCCTGGGCTTCCCTCACCACAGTCCTGATCACTCTGCTCCTGTTTCCGCCATCACAGACCTGACCACTCTGGCAATGGGCTGTCTCCTTCACTAAACAGTGAAGGCAGGGTAGGGGATCTGTCTTGGTCACCACTGTGTCCTGAGCATCATCCAGTGCAGGGCTTATCACACAGGAGGTGCTGGTGGTTGCTTATTGATTTGTGAGTGCACAAATGCGGGAGAGAGGCAAGAAAAATGAGCACTGAGACTCTGGCAACTCATCCAGGAGCGAGACAGACCTGGTTCTGGTGTGTGTGCAGTCGAACTGTAATCATTCTACATAATAAAACTGAAAAAGGAGGGAGAAAAAGACAGACCTGGTTCTGGTGTGTGTGCAGTCGAACTGTAATCATTCTACATAATAAAACTGAAAAAGGAGGGAGAAAAAGACAGACCTGGTTCTGGTGTGTGTGCAGTCGAACTGTAATCATTCTACGTAATAAAACTGAAAAAGGAGGGAGAAAAAGACAGACCTGGTCTCTTCTCTCCCTGGACTCACAGAGTCTTAGCACAGGCTGGTCCTTCTTCCAGAACACTCTTCCCCCCAAGTGCTCCTGACCGGTCACGTTCATCTTTTAGGTGTCAGCTTAGAGGCCCCTCCTCCCTCCAGAAAGCGTTTGCTGGCCCTTCCTCCCTGGCCGGCTCAGGTGTTTCCTCTGGGCTCCTATGGCTCCCCCGACTTTCCCCATCCTGACCACGCTGTGGTCACAGTCTGGTGAGTAAGTTGTGTCTCCCACTGCCCTGGGAGCTACAATAGGATATTGTTACAGATGTGTTCATCTCTGATTCCTCTGGAACTAGCAGAGAACTGGATGTAAGGAGGAAAAAGGTATAGTATGTTGCCCTTACAATGTATGCATTATCTCATCCACCTCTGGTCAAAACTTTCTCTGATGGTAGACTGAAGGTCAGAGAGGGGAGATCACTCACCCAAAGGTACCTGCTGTTAAGTGGCAGAACCCTGCTGTTACCCTCTGTGCTGCGTACTGAGTAATTAGATGGTAGCTATTTTTTAGTAACAGATGATGTATATATCCTGATGTTTTCTGTGTAAAAGTAGCAAGGTGAGTTTCTCAGCTGCCCTGTCTCCACCTCCTTGAATCCGATGTACCTGGACAGGTGAGGTCATAAGATTAAGCCCAGGGGACATGAAGGCAGAAAGTGTATTGAATACACCTAGGTGCTCTTTTTCACTTATTTTTAAATTAAAAAATATTTATTTATTATTATTTTTAAAATTATTATTATTTTTTAATGAAGGTAATGGGGATTGAACCCAGGATCTCGTGCATGTCTACCACTGAGCTATACCCATACCCCTCATTTTTTTTTTAACCAGAATGCTCTGACTCCAAATCATGGGCAGCTGGGACCCATCTAGTGAAGGGCAAGAGGGAACCCTAGAGATTCTTTAGGGGGAGAGGAATTGTCCAGGATGCGGTCTCCAGGACCCCCTTTTTAATCAAAACATCTCCCCCCTCTTCCTTCCTTCCTTCCTTCATTCCTTCCTTCCTCTCTCTCCCTTTCTCTCTCCCCTTTCTCTCTCTCTCTTTCTCTCTCTTTCTTTCTTTCTTTCTTTGGCCTTGCCATATGACTTCCTCTGAATAAGAGATTTGTGTTAAAAAAAAAAAAAACTCCTACAAGACTAGGTGATTTCCAAGCATAAG